CCTCAGGAAGAAATCCATGTTGCACTAATTTTTTCTTTTATTCTGACTGAAAATAGATCAATTCTACTGCCCTTAGTTGTGTCCCCTTTTCATGATTACAGTGTGATTTTCATATCATACACACTACAGAGCATATAGCCCTATGTTTGTAACACAATTGCAAGTCAAAACTAGCAGAGGATTACTCCGCTACTCGATTAGCAGAGTCGTGTTGCCATTTGTAGCTTCACATGGACATTCCATATTCTTAAAGTCAAACTAATTACTTATCCTATAGTCATTGGTGGCACTTGTTAAGCGCAATCATTTCGTGTCACTCACCGGATCTTTAGCGACGGAAAACAGGAGGTCTCATTCTCCAATGAACTTCATCTGAGTGGTGGACCGTGCGTGGCCCTGCAGTAGGATGGGTTTCTGTACAGAAAAGCAATATTTGCAAGTTAATTTCCTATTTTCAAATAGGTGCATCAGCCCAGCTCAAACTCCTGTCAAATGCTAATTACTTATTTACCAAGAGTTCATGAGACAGTGTGCTTCATAGCCTATTTTTTACATATTTTAATGCAGAGAAGCTTCACTCACATGTAACTTGAGTGCTTGAAAGGGTAAATAGAAACTTATATGCCAGCCCGATTCCATGGTAAGCATCTGCCAGGAGGTTATATTGTGTGAGGATCAGATAAACACAGATAACACAGCTCAAACCAGTGACGAGGTTCATGGATGGTGAGGCACAGATTTACAATTGTAAGAACCAAAAAGAGCATCTTATTTCACTATTCATTCAACAGTATCACCTGGTAATGCTTCATATCCATCAGCATTCCTCTTTCAATGACACTTACACCAACACAAACACAGGAACATATTTGCCCTACAAAGAACAATTATTTTATAGAAATGCATAGAGCGCCCTTCTTGTGTTTAGCACTAACATGTTCCAAAACAATTAACCACTACAATCTACTTAAGCAAACCATTTGCTTTGTGCCACTATTTAGTACTTTAAACAATTTCACATTCGACAATGACTACATAAAACAACCAGTCAATAAAAATGAATCATGCATTTTTATTAAAATGTCATGGCTTCAACTCAGAAAAACATACTTTTTTGTAAGACAAGGGCCTAAGAGCAGCCATCATTTTTTACTTCTTAACATTAAACAGCTGATTTATTTAATAAACTTTATACACTTCTTCCATCTTCTTTCATCAATCTTTCCTGTACTGGACTTGTCCAGTTGAGGCGTCACTCAGTCTTTAGTCAATACCTGTGAATGGCTTAAATCCATTTTTTTTCCCATACCTTGAAATTGAATTGTAATTCACTGCATCGTATTTGCTCTTTTCTGCCCCGATGTCCTGTAAACATTTCATAACACTCTGTAAATGCTGTCCAAAAGTTTCATTTCCGCTGACAAAAAAATTGACATGTTTAATTTCTTATTGAGCAGCTAAAAATGGCCAGGACGATGGCGTTTATGTAACAGAAACCAGATGACTTTTTGGCGTCGTACAGTCCACCTGCCCAGTTGCCCTCGATGTAACTATTTTTGGATAATCTTACTATTCCGACATTGTGAAAGGATTAATTACAATGACAAACGGTTAGCTTGGCAATCAAACTTTGACAGAATATTTTCAGCTCTCTCTGTAATGATGAGGTGGTTAGCCTTCTTGTGTATTCTGCTCCTGCAAGATGAAACTTTTGGTTTCCATATCAAAGTAGTGAAAAACTCTCTGACTCACCAGGACATCACAGAGAGGGCCATCTTTAAGGTCACTTTGGAGACTTGTCGCACTTCTGTTCAAAACGTCAAACTTCCTGTAAGAATCATATGGAGCAATGTTAGAAATCTTTTTTTATATTTACTTTTTTTAGAATACTGTATCATAACATTACTTCTCCTTTGTGTGTGTGTGTGTGTGTGTGTGTGGTGTGTGTGTGTGTGTAGCCTGAACCATACACTGCTTTTTCAGTTGCCACTGCATGTGGAGCCAAAAAGTCTTCCAAAGATTTCCAATGGGCTATTGAGATGATCAAATGGTCAAATGTGGGAGTTGACCTCCTATTTTTCTGGGATGGCAGCTACCACTTTGATTCAGAGAAATTTACGGAGGGAAAAAATATCATTACCCAAAGTTTAGAAACTGTGAAGTCCAACAACAGATTCCAAAAATATTATACATCAAGGGTCACACTGGGGAATTTGTTTCACCCTTTACAGGTAAAGTAACGTGTAAGTCCATATATATAAAAATGTAGTAATCTTGTTATTGGTGCAGTGGGGGCTTGGTGGTTAAAGAAGCAGACTCAGGTCCAGAGGGTTTCAGGTTCAAGTCCATTTTCTATTTTTCTTTCACTCCCTTTGCAAGCAAACCTCCAGGTAAACAAAAGTCAGCCCGTCATGTTGTATTCATTAAATAACAATGCCATTAAGGATTTCCAATAATATTGAGCCGATATTGGCATAGTTATGTAATATCTGTAGGAATCATTGTCAGTATTTCCTCCGATATTGAAAACCCAATAACAATTTTGGCCAAATGATGTATGTCCTAAAAATAGTTTATTAAAGTGCATTTGAAGTGCGGTTGAATATTAAAGTGAAGGTCACTAGCAGCTCATTTATTTAATCTATTTTCTGCATACAGGGAATGCAGAATGCAGGTGCCAGAAACATATACAGTGGTTTGTACAGATAAATAAATAAATATTACCAAGCCTATATCGGATTTGCTTGATATCAAAATCGGAAATTAAGTATTTGGACAATATCGGCATTTCGGATACATCCTTCAACATCAAGTTGAAACAAGACAAATTGTCTATCTAGAAAAAACATTCAAACTTGACTCATCAACACAGGTAAATGCAGCCATGGAGGAAACAAAGATAGAACAAGACACATCGAGCCTAGAGGTGGAATTTACGAAGACACTGTAGACTCCGAACATGGATATCGTCACAAGGACGCAGCAGATCTGGCTATAGCTGCAATGGCTGAAGTGCTAGAGCACGTCCGAGCAGCTGCTGGTGACCAGTGAGTACGAGACAACCTCACGATGCTTACGTACCACTGACTGAACATTTAACAACAATACAAATTGAATTTTCTCCACCTATCTTAGAATGATGGGAATCGTGAAAGGCAAACCTCTTTGCTTTGTGACTGACACCACAGGAAGTATGAGCGATGACATTGCCACAGTGCTCATCCTCACCAATAACATAATCAACAGTAAAGTGGGAACAGAGGACGAGCCGTCACTATACATTCTTGTTCCTTTCAATGATCCAGGTGAGATCTTAAATCCTTAAACATGACTTCATGTTTATAAAATCAAAACCGGCACCCCAAATCAGTAAGTACAACAAGCATCTTGGCAAGCAAGCAAGGCTGCTGTAAAAGAACTCTTGGAACCACCTCTGAGAGAGAGGTGAGAGTTCTAAGTATTATTACTGCTACTAATCCTACTATTCCGACATTGTAAAATAATTAATTACAATGATAAGCGGTTAGCATATCAATCCTTCTATTCAGGAACTGAGTGCAGTCGGTGGTGGTGATTACCCAGAGATGAGTCTTTCAGCACTGCAGGTGTTGTTACTTTGACATTTCATCAAAACACAGTCCCTGCAAACTGGAAACTAACAAAAAGTATTTTCTGTCTCTCTCTCAGAACAGCTGGCTTTAACTGGTGCTCCTCCGGGTTCTGAAATGTACATCTTTACCGATGTACGGTTAAAGATGCATACCTTTATAACAATGTGCTTGCCCTCATAGAGCAAACCAAATCTATAGTGAGTAGTCCTGTCTTCATGTAAAGTCATGGTGGTAAAATATGATTAATGTTGTATATGTATTATTATTTTATTTAATTTTCTGGACATGGTCAACTATCAGTTGCTAATAAATTATTAAAAATTGATGTCTCAAAATCTGCAACAAATCAGAGCAGAAATAGATTAACCATAAATATAAAAGATAGGATCAGCTCTTTGAGGCATTTGCATTTCAAGATGTACTGATTATAAAAAGTGAGTCCATTAATGAGAGTATCTTCAGATATTTGATTACCATGCAGTACAATGATCTTTGAGAACTTTGTTTATCTTTGAGCAGACATAGCAACTTCATATAAATGTTCCAAAAAAGTTGCCAGTGCTAATCAACATTATCATTGATGAAAAGTGTAAAACTATTCTATTTTTCTTTAGGTGAACTTTCTCATGACCGGACCTTTGTCCCGCCGTCGAAGAGCCACTGGTGATGATGTTGAACTCAGGATCCAACCACATCTTTTGTATATAGAGCTAGCTAAGGCTTCAGGTGGTCAAAATATCCAAGTCACAAAAACACAGCTGCTCGAGGCTACCAGCATCATTACATGTCCATCAGTTCCTCCCTGGTATCAACAACTTCACAAACAACAACAATGAACTTAACGAGTTTAAAAAGATTGACCTTTGTCACCTTTATATCCCAGGTCATCCTTCTACAAGTATCCAGGAATGATGGAGGAGTCGATAATTTCACCTTTGTGGTGGACGAATCAGTCAAGAACCTCACTGTCTACATCACTGGGGATGACATCACCTTCACTGTCATCAGTCCGACAGGTGATTTTACACATTTGATCTAAATCAGAATTACTTAATTAACCCCTGGGTGATTCAATTCTTCATCATCATAAAACATTCATGCCATAACTTTTGTGCGGCTACATTTCTTCTTCTTCAGATGTGGTTCAGAGCAGCACTGACCCCAATGGAACAGTTCATTCAGTACAGTGGGAAACCTCCAAACTGTCACGTTAAATACTGAAATAGGACTGTGACATGTTATTGTGGTGTCAACATATTCATACAATGTCAAGGTCGTAGGTGAGTCCGTTTATGTTGGGCAAAAACTGTGCTCTGTTGTTGCCCAGAATACTGCTTTAATCCACACTTTTTTGTGCAGTTAAATCTGTTACGTAATTGCTCCTGTTCGATTAACCGCTGACCCTTAACCTCTCTTCTTGAATTGCAACTTCTTTCAAGGGGACAGTGATTGACTTCCTGTATACCTTCATGAAAGTGTCTCAGAGTCCACATGGAGGTTATGAGGCCATATCCAGTCGTCCTCAGTCTGGTAATTAATTTTTTTAATTGTTCATTTCCATTTATTTTTTCCATGTAGGTTATCAGTCATCTAGGTCATTTTGTCCAAAACAGTTAAGTAGAGGGCAACTGGACAGTCTTGGTTTCTTGAGTACATGTCACCTCTCATCCAAAAGGTGTCACTTTATTATAGTTTAATATATGATGAGATACACGCCACTGTCATCCTTAAGAAAGGTTCATTCTTTATCGATGCATTGGGAGGGAGAATAGCACATTTCTGCAACCAAATGTTAAAACCCAGGCTATGACAAGATTCAATGGCCATGAATATATATTCTGCATCGTTGTAGAACTAGAGCTCAGGTACAGGTATGTGCAAAGAGGCACAAGTGGCACTCTTGAGATTTGAGATCTTCTTTAGTCAGGTGACCGATATGAATGTGCATATTGCACTGCATGGTAAACACTGGTAACTTCTACTGCAGTAACTTATCAAACTCAGTGTCATTGGGTTTGCAGAAAAAAATACTGCACACTACGGAAAAGCCGTTTTCACACAAATTGCAGAATGTTCATTTCAAATCCCCATCCATTGGTCTCAATGATAATAAACCAATGCATTTAACGCTTTGTCTCCAATACTGTGTATGATATATATAATTTACCCATAAATCAGTATTTATGGGTAAATTATTATATCATACTAATCTTTTATTCTTTATTTTTAAGGGGTTTCCCGATGCTATGTTTACATACCAATACGAGGGAGAGTATTATCATTCATGTACTCGCAATTACCGAAAACAACCAGTGACACTTCTTTAGTTTGGGTTTCGATGAGTATACGATGAACTGAATGAAAAAAATACAGCAGCTGGTTGTTTTGCATTTTTTGTCAAACAAAACAAAAAACATGTGGACAACGTAACATATCCAACCAGCAGTACTTGCTTTTGTTTTGTGTACACAGTGACCTCGCACTCACTCTCTCTCACTCCCTCTCTCTCATTCTCTCACCCTACGTTTCTCCCTCTACGCCTCTGTTTTTTTTTTTCGCTTTTTCTTTGCGTCCATATGAAGACAAAGTGTTTTGTCAGCTTCATATTTTTACCAACCAATTAATGTAATTACAATATCTCTCTAAACCCCATAGCACGAGGGTGAAAACGTCTACATCATGGCCATATCATTAGTTCTTAATATTACCAGTTACTACCCTGAAAATATACAGTAACAGTGATCATCTACCTCAAATGTTTTGATTCCCAAAGTGGGGGGTAGGCCCTTCATAGTGTACACGTAGCAGTTGTAGGCAAAATAATTTTAATTTCAATATTTACTTCAATCCTTATATTTTTCTTCTTATTGTGTAATTTCTATGTGATTTTTATTTTTCATTTGTTCCAAGAGTGGTTTTAAAAAGATGAACTTTGTTGTGTTTGAGTCAAAGGTGTGGAGGGTGAGATTACTCCACTTTACAAAAGGCTGCTGTAGAAGAACTCTTGGAACCACCTCTGCAAGGTGAGAGTTCTAAGTATTATTACTGCTACTAATCCTACTATTCCGACATTGTAAAATAATTAATTACAATGACAAGCGGTTAGCTTAACAATCCTTCCTTTTAAAACAATTATCATAACACATACATTTGAGCGTGCTCTGCCTTTTTTTAATTAATAATGAGACAACAGGTTTTCTTTCTGTCAGATAAAGTAGGAAAATTTGCTTAGGTACAGCCTTCCCTGCAGCAGGTGTGCAGGTGAGCCACCGCACTTCCTACTCATCACATTACAAACAGGTAGAACAAGAGCGCACGCCCTGTCAGTGGAACGTTGGACGTCGTGTTGACAGAATACATATTTTGACAAAACAAGACCCTCAAGACGTCAGGTAAAGAATTAAGTATTTTACTTAAGATTGTAAAGCTTAAGTTAAATAGGGATGTTTTCTTTAAACTTGTTAAAGACTTGTTGAAGTCTTTTTCAAACAATCTGAGCTACAGCTGTTTTTTGTTTGATTTTAATGTTGAAAAAAGATGCTTATCTGACTGTAATATTTTCATAGAAAACACAAATGTTGACTGGTCAACTGTTGTATATATGTGAAAATGTTGAAATATGTATTTTTTCATCAAAACTATAAGCAACAGTGTGAAAGAATACAGCCAGGTCACACACATTTGTTTTGTGTTTTGAAACTTGCGTTCTAACTGTCTGAACAAACACTGTGACTGTGACAGGAATGTTTACTCAAGTATCTTCTTTTTCGGTACTGTAACAGGGATGCTGGTTGCCTTTTGCCTCCTGCTGTTCCACACTGGAACATATGGGTTTGGAATATTACCAGGAAAGTCCTTGAATCACTTTGAAATCACAGAAAACGCACTTTTGAACACCACAGTGCATGTATGCCGTGCTTTGGCTCTAGCTGATGGGACAGCCTTTACGTTTCCAGTAAGATATCTCATTAGTTCAAAAGAAGAGAAAAAGAAATAAGATCATTTCTGTTTCACTTCTCCATTAAAGTGCATCTCGGAGCCGGCCCACGTCCGACCCGGCCGGCACATCTCCTTAAATGCGGACCGGAGGTAGACCGGAGATGCACCAGCCGATCCGCAGGAGTCCGACGGCGGACCCGAAGATGTACTGGCCCGGTCGGGGGTGGTCCGGCTTGGCCACAGATGCACTTTAATGGGGGTGTTTACAGTGTGGCAACAGCTAACCTGTCTGTATGTTTGTGTGTAGTCACAGCCATACACTGCTGAGGCTGTCGCTGTCTCCTGCAATGCGCCGAAATCATCCAAAAGTTTCCAACAAGCCATTACCTCCGTCACTTTACACAATGTGCGAGTGGACCTCCGTCACGCTCTCAATGCAAGCTTTCATTTCGATGAAGAAATGTTTGTTCAAGGCAAGAAAATAATTACAGAGGGGATACAGGCAGTCAAAGCCAGCAACAAGCAAGAGAACTTTGAAGCAGCCAGGGAAAAACTGGGGGAGATTTTACATCCTTTGCAGGTAATGTTGATTTAAAAAAAAAAAAAAAACCTTACTGTAATGAATCTCTACTAAATATACAGTAGGTTCAACATCACCGTTTCCTTCCACTTTGCAGGATTTTTACAGCCACAGTAACTGGGTAGAGCTGGGAAATAAGCAACCGAACCCCAATCTTATCAGATCTGACAGCAGCATTGGTAAAATAGCAGGTAATGCCATGGTATGCACAAATCTCTGTTTGTCTATGAGAAAAGCAAAGATAAAAAACTGGTCAAGAATGCAGTTTGGGTGTGTTTCATGATTTAACAAAAGATGTCATTAATTGTCTTTGTTATTTCCTCCACAGATAAAAGCAGGGCAACGTGTCGAAACTGCAATGGTGACGATTGTAGGAACAACATTCTGGAGGATATCATAAATGAGGGCATTCTAACCTCTGGCTACTTTGGTATTGTTCCTGTAGTCTCAACCAAACCAAAAGGTAAAACTAATTTCAGTGGAAACATCGAGGCTCAGTTTTAGAATTAAACTCAGCTTATTATGGTCAAAGCACTGACAGGAATAAAGCAAATAGTAAGTGTTCTCTAGGGTTGCCATGAATTAATGTATTGAAAAATTCATTATTTTAACACTCCTCAATTTGGTAAAAAAAAATTAAAATAATTATGAACTAGGGATGGCGGATATTAACTTTTTGCCAATAACAATTCTTACAGATATTACAAAATTATGCTAATATCGAGCTGATAATATTGGACATCCCTATTATCAACACCATTTAAACATGTATTCAGTTAATTCTCATACTTTTGTTTGAATAAACAAACATTTGAACATTAATGGTAAAATAATTTGCTTTGCTGATGCTCTTCAGCCATTTGACATTCAAATGGGATGAGGAAGTTCACATGCAAACACAAACTAAAGAAGAATCAGTCAAATATCAGCTGATTGACTTGGTCATTTTGTTGTTGCTCTAAAAGTACATTTTTCATTCCTACAAACAACATGCTTTAAAGAAACGTAGAACACATGGTTATTTCATCTGAACATTTCTGAACTTAACAGTTTCAGTCAAGAAGTATAAAAAAATCATCAAAAATCAAAACATCATCCCCACATGTACCCTATTCAAAAATAAGGGTTGTCTTTGAAAAAAAACAAAACCTTTTTTTGCATTTAAGCTGCAGATGCTGCTAAGTTTTCAAAATACCTTCAAGAATGAACTAACATTGTGAAAGTACTTAACATGGAAGTTCAGATAATAGCTGTGAATAAAAAATAGGAAGCTAGTAAGATTATTGTCTAGAGAAAATTGTTAAGATACCACCCCGCAGAGACTGTCAAAGACAGTGACAAGAACCTGACAGAGGAATGAACTCAAATGTCTAATACTGCTGAAAAGACAACTTTAACCCAGAGTGCAGTCTTTAGAAACTAAAAACTGAAGACTGGAGTTGCATAATGGAAATTTCAGTTTGCTATTTTGAGGAATTAGCATATTTTACATAACATGCATAGATATTCTGCCTGTGGGTGTAGAAGAAAGAGGTGGAGGCCTACTGTCAAGATGCTTCAGCATTAAAAGAAAACAAAATCAGCCAAGTAGGGCAGCAAAACCGGTCCTTATTAATCAACTGGTCTTAAAACATAATGTCCCAAAGACAGATCTGCAAAACAGGCTGAAAAGCACAAAGTTATGACCTTAATTCTAGAAAAAAATGTATGGGTAGAACGTTAGTCCAAGGTTTCAGCAGAAAGACCACCAAGCTGCTCCTACAGCTCCTACAGTAAGATATGCCAAAGAAAAATGACGTATCCACAGTGGATGGGTCATGAATGCAGCAGAAATGGGAAGAAACTGATTAGGAATCATATTCTACACTTTTTTTCACCATTGTGTCTGTTAGACCCAGAAAAGCATCCAAATGCAAGTTTGTCTCAAAACATGCTGCTAAGTAAACTCCAAAAATATCATATCTGAACATGTGAAATGCTCAGCAAAAACAAGTAAGACTATAGTCTTACTATCACGAAAAAATGCAAAAACAAAAAGGCCCAGAAATGCTCAGTTCGCAGTTTTTATTGCTAAAATCATTACTGCCATAGTGAACTAATGATTACATGAGAACCTATAAAAGAAACCACTGTGTTACTCTCATTTATTAAGCCATATTTTAACAAGCTGTTGTGGATTTGTCCTTTTAAATGGCTTTGTTTAAACAGGAAAATGCAGCCACGGAGGAGCAGTTGATCAAACAAGCAAAATTGAGCCTAAGGGTGGCATCAACAAAGACTCATTTGACGCCAGCCATGGACATTTGCACTCCAAAGCAGCAAATATGGCCACAGCTGCAACCAGCCAACTACTGGAGGACATTAGAGGAGCAGCCGGCGACAGACCCTTCCTCCAGTAATAAATTCATCCTTTATAATATATATATATATAGATAGAGAGAGAGAGAGAGAGAGAGAGAGAGATACATACATACATAGTGAATAAAGTAGAAGCGAGATAGTTATTATATAATTTACGTATATATATTTACTCTATACAAACCTCGCTCACACTGTTATCAACCCTCCTTGTATAATGGCAATATGAGACATACATAATACGTAAATTAAATACACGAGCATGGAAAACAATGTAAAAAACATTCTAATTATGAATTAAAATTCAAAGTACATGCACATTGCGGGGGCTTGGCGGAGGTTAGCGCTCAGCTGCAGGAGAGAGAACACGGGAGTGGCGACGCACGTGCAGCCCTGGAAGCAGGTTAGCGCAATTGGAGTAATCAAGCATCAAGCAATTGGTACAACAAAAAAATGACCTGATGTCAAATTAAACCATTTCAATGTAAACAGGTCTCTGTAAAACCAACAACTGTGGGTTATATCGCCATCTGTGACCAAAACAGCAAAATAAAAACTAGAAATAGCTCAGCGCCAACAGAGTTTGCATCACAATCCAGCAGGTGGTAGGCCAACAGCCTTTCTCCACACTATGAATAACACGTTTTTGCAATCAAAATTTAAAACCTAGGCTATGACAAGATTCAGTGACCATGAATAAATATTCTGCATTGTTGTAGAACTCTGTACAGCTATGTACAAAGAGGCTCAAGCGGCACTCTTGAGATTTGAGATTTTCTACAGTGGGTTGACGATATGATTGTTCATATTGCACTGCATGGTAAACACAACTTTTACTGCAGTAACTTTTGTATGTTTTCTGTCGTGTACTTCCTGTGTGAGACTCACGTGCACCGTGTCGTTTCCCCTCAGATTCATCACCACGTCCTACAGAAAAGCCGTTTTCACACAAATTGCAAAATGTTCATTTCAAATCCCCATCCATCGGTCTCAGCCAAAAGGTGGCATCTTCTTTTTTCGGCACAGTACACATGGGCGTCTTCACTGTATCAAAACAACTGCACGCTCCAAGATTTCAGACGCTAACGTGTGTGTGATTGCTGAGAGTCAGCAGTTTGATTGACACACCACTCAGCCTGTCAGCTACCGCCTTGTCCACGGAGGCCTATCATTGCTAAGTACTGCACTGATAGTCGTGCCCATAGACAGCCAGGCACATAAAATAGTTTATTTTCAATTAAGTAATGTCGAATGAAAAAGTGCGACAAAATCTTCAATTTGCGTGACACTAAAATTGCTGTGCAATACAACGTAAAGCGATGATCAGAACACCGCAAGGCGTTAAATGGGTAAACTTTCTCCAAACACAAGCGCACAAACTGCAACGGCGCAGAGCAAAGTGAAAGAGTGGCGGACAGACTAGGGTAGATGCAGAGAGATGCTACGATGCATGGGCATCGAACAGAAGAGCATGCTCAATGCCGTGTTTGAGCTCCTCTAGGTAAACAAAGCTGCCATCGATGTCTTTTAGTTTATTTTTTGCTATATTTTTACTGTTTAATTTTTTAGGTTAGAAAATGTTTTTATCACGAAAATAATGAAAATATTGCAATTTTTAAAAATACCTCTAGAGATTGTAATAAAAAAATCCGCGATGTACTGAGGGAGCGACAGATGTGATCCACCTACATCTACCTTCTGTTCTTATTTAAGAATGTCAATTTATCTTGATTAACCATAATCCTGTTTAATCAGTACAAATGGATGCGTAATGAATTTGTATCTCAAAGGATGATGGGAATCTCCAAAGGGTCAGGCAAAGCCCTTTGCTTCGTGATCGACACCACTAAAAGTATGAGTGATGACATCGAGGCGGTGAAGGCAGTAACTTCTTCCATAATCGATAGTGAGGCAGGAACAGATGATGAACCTTCATTCTACATTCTTGTTCCTTTCAATGACCCAGGTGGGATGTTAGGGATGGTTTCTGTCACGTTATGCCTTTCTATGAGAGAGAAAATGAAGTGTAAAGCCAATTTTTTTTATCTCAGATTTTGGCCCTTTGATAAAGACAACAGACGCAAAAGTCTTCAAGAATGTTATCAACTCACTCTCAGTGATTGGGGGAGGAGATGAGCAGGAGCAGAGTCTGTCTGGACTTCAGGTATCAAAACACCTTTACATGAATGTACTAATTCAGAAAGCCTTGAATTGGTGCGCAGAAATTCTTCTTGTCTTAAACAGTTGGCATTAAGTGGGGCACCAGTCAATTCTGACATCTTCCTCTTTACTGACGCACCTGCTAAAGACAAGGTCCTGAAGAACACAGTGATTGCACTCATTGAGCGAACTCAAACAGTAGTAAGTATTAATAAATAGTCTTATGTTTTATATAAATTATATCTATATCTATATTATATATATATTTACATCTATTTTTCTTTAAAATATTCTTAAAATGCTCTTAATTGATAAGAAACACGCAGACAAGTTCAAATTTTGAAAAATACATTGGCAAACATTTTCATCATTTTTCATCATCACCAAAAATGACATGCTTCTTTAAGATTTTGCTGAAAAATTCCCACACATTTTTTTCTACATATTATTTCAAAATGCTCTATATAGACACTAAGCCTCTCATTTGCTCACGCTAGACATAATTCATGTTTGTCCAACAGGTGAACTTCATGATAACATCTTCAAATGTGGTCAACAGCCGCAGACGACGTGAAACACCCAAGAAGATATCAGCTTCTGATGCCCAGGTCTATAGAGACTTGGCTCAGGCTTCAGGAGGTCTGGCTATTGAAGTCACAAAGAGTGAGCTCCCATTGGCCACCAGCATCATACAAGAGTCTACCACCTCCTCTCTGGTGATGAATAGTACAGTTATGTTGCTACTGGTTCACTTTGTCAGTTCTCAGCTGACACGTGTTCCATGTGGTTTTTCCAGGTGACTTTGCTCCTAACATCCAGGAATTCGGGAAACGCGGACAAATTCTTCTTTTTAGTAGATAAAACTGTATCAAACCTCAGAGTCTACATCACTGGACTGGGCCTCAGTTGTACTGTCATCAGCCCGAAAGGTATTACAACACAAAAATTGATATTTATCAATTAATCATCATCTCAAATGTTGAGGTCATCACACTTTAAACCATATTTTTGTCACCATTCATTAGTAGCTAGAAATTATCTGTTGCATTTTATTGGTAACTGAAAAAAAAACATTTATTCTGTTCAAAAAGCAAACAAAAATAAAATGTTTTTAATGTAAAAATATTGTAATTCTAAGGTGAATCCAAGGCATGCACAGACACATCGGGGTCACTGTTCACTACATCCCAGTCAGTGGGAAATTTTCAGAACTTAAAGCTCAAAAAAGAAGTTGGACAATGGGAAATGAGGATGACATCTGCTAATCCCTTCACTCTAAAGGTCATGGGTAAGAACTAGGTCGATGATTGATGGTAAAATGGCTTTAAAAAAAACTTCTCTCCGTATTTTTATCCTCTGAAATATTAATGTGAAGTCTGAAATTTTTTTAAATTGACTATTAGTCCAAGAACGGTCCAAGTGTATGGTCTGTTAACCTCTTCTTTTTTGCCTTTTTTTTGTTTCTCTTGACTTTTTCATTCCTAGGTGAGACCACTATTGATTTTTTGTTTGATTTTGTGGAAGAGTCTGATGGGCCGTTCAAAGGTTTTGATGCTCTTGACACACGTCCAAAAGCTGGTAAAAATGTTTTTTATATGTGACTTTATTTGCAGTGCATGTCGATATTATCGTATAGGACGATGACAATTTAGATTTTTTTTCAAGGTGTGAATGGCACCTTGCTGGTGACTTTATTGGGCTTGGATACGGGCACACTAACAGAAGTAGCTCTGGTTGAATCCGCTGGGACGAAGGAGATTGTCGGGGTTGTGGAGCCACAGGAGACTGGGAAATTCTTAGTGAGGGTCGAACAGATACCGTCAGAGGAGTTTGTGGTACGAGTAAAAGGGCAAGATTCTGCTTCAACAATCGTTTTCCAAAGGCAGTCTCCCACCAACTTCAGAGCCTCCAAAGTGACTATTGCTGTAAGTCGTATTAAACCATGCAAGACATGAAGAAAAAAAAAACTGTTGTTAAAGTTCTGTACTTCTCTGTAATCATCTTTGTGTTCAGGCGGATTCAAATGACGTTTTAGTACCAGGAACACTGTTCTCCGTGTCCTTCACTGTAAAGACCGACGGACCAGGCGGAACTTTTACTATAAAAGCTACCAACAATCAAAAATTTCACTCGGAATTTCCAACCAGTTTGTTACTGGAAACTGGAAAAAGTACAGAAGGGACAGTGAACCTCACGGCACCTCTCAACACCCCCTCAGGTACTGATGTCAGATTGACCATTGAGGCGGAGGCTCCAGGGGGTTTGGACACCAACTACATTGTGCTGCGAATTTCTGTCCTGAACCCGGTAATTTTTTCAGTTAAAATTTCTAAGAAAATCACACATTTATTAAAGCTGTAAATGTGTCAGATTTAAATTGGAGTATTAAATATTTTTGTGGCACAAACATTTTTAGATAACCAACCAAAAATCTATATGATCTGACAATTGTCCAACTGGCAAAATATGTCAAGTAAAAATAAATTATTTTTCTTTTTCCTCTTCCCAGATAACAGATTTCACTCCACCTGTGTGTCAGCAGCTCAGCCTGGAAGCTGATTGCCCTAAAGACTGCACATTGGACACATGGGACCTCTCCGTTCGTGTGACCGATAGGGATGATGGGATGGGTGTCGAACGAGTCAGCCTTAAACAAGGCAGCGGTGTCATGACAACCAGTCTGGACCCTGACAATGGGAACATCACCCTGGTGTCCTACAATGCCTCCTGCTGCTCACCTAATATGGAGCTACAGGTGGTAGACCGAGTGGGAAACGTAGGCACCTGTTTCTTCTCTTCTGAAGAAGGTGTCACATCTCCTGTCTCCATGTCTACAAAAGTTACTTACTCAGTTTTTCTCTGTCTAACCATGGTTCTACTAGAGATGTATATGTCAACAGTCGGTGTTATTCAGTTATCACCGCCCCCCACCAGAGAGGGAGTCTGATGCATCTCATCAAAGAGATCAGTTTAGGTTAAAGGTTTAAGGGTAATGTAAAAGTAAAATGAATTTAATGCTGCTGTAAATTCCTTTGTGGATTATATTTACTGTAAAAAAAAAAACATATTCATTTTGTATTGTGCAATTTTATTGTAATACGGATTGTTTCAGATTTGTTGCTTCTATTCCTTGTGAAGAGACAATTCTTAAAGCTAAAAAATAACAAACTAGCCTACATTTTTTGCTATTTATTTATTTGAAGGTACATTAAGAAAACTATATAATTTTTTTTATTATCACACAGCCCTGCTGACACAGCAAAAAGTAAAGGCCAATGTCAATGTAATGTAAAAAATAAAAAATCAGTACCTGTCATCGGCCACTATGCTACCCCTCCACACATGGTAGATAAGCTGATGAAAAAATGTGCTGTGATAATGACAAAAGAAGAAAATAAATGTTTTTTTCTTCCTTAAAAAAAACTATTTTTATTTTTATGTCATGTGTCTAATGTTTTATCCTTTACAGAAAACAAAAAGTTCCTTCTTTTCACATTTGGCTACAAGCTCAACAAATCTCTGATTTTCTGTCAGCACTATTTACATTCTGAAACATTTCAAAGTCTGGCTTAGCCCTATATAAAGCAACTGCACTTGTTCAGACATACAGTGACTGCGTGTCGAATGAATCTCTCATAATGAGGTACGTGTACGGTGGCGGCCTGATTGTTTTACTTTGCTTTTTAAAAGTAGAAATAAGTAAAAATCCACCTAAAAGTAATATCTAACCTCAGATACACAGAATCGTCTGTCAGTCAATTTTCATTTATAGTGTTCAGATTTTCGGTGGGCCGCTTCGACCGCTGCAAGGGTTTCAAAGAATTTCAGACAAGTCCTTCAAAGGTGCCTTCATTCGCACATCAAGCAGTGCCATTAGTGTACTGAGAAATCTTATTCTCCAAGTCACAGATTCTCTTCTCCTGAGACAAAACTGTGGCCTTCAAATTCTGTATCTCCTCCAGCAACCTCTCAAGCAACTCAGGCTGGATTAGAAGAGATGAGGAGAGGAAAGGAAACAAGAGGACACATGGAAAGGAGTGGAAATAAAAAGAAAACAGAAAAGACAAGGAAAGGAACTTTTAGGACAAAGGAAAGGAAATGCAAAGATAGGTCAAGGACAGTCCTCAACTAGAAATGAATGAATCAAACTAGGAAGGGAGTTTGGGGATAAATGAGAGTAGGAAAGAAGACAGGAACATAGTTTACACACTTGCTGAGTTTGTCATACTTCTAGAAAGTTTAAAGAGTAAAGAATAAAGAATAATTAAGCAGTAATATATATAAGATGCTCTATTAGAAACTGGAAACTAGAAAATACAATAAGAAATATACTAAAAATAAAGCTTTTTTAAGCCTTTTGTTCACATTGTGTTTTAGAAAAAAACACTCCCTTTGTGCAAAACTAAACCTAAGAAAAATATTTGTTGAGTACACAATTTAGTTCCACAACCTACCGACAGATTGTTAGTTTCCACTGTTGACATGCTGCGGCGAGCGGTAGGTCTGGAGTCCAGCACATTCTTCTTTGCCACTTTAATCTCTCGGCTCTTGGGAGGAACGTAGCCCCCTCTCATGGAGGTCAGAATAGGGTCCTCGTCACGACCATCCAACCACTCCTCAGGCTCCATGGCAGGCTCCGGCCCTGCTGTGTCTGGGTACAAGTCGTCCTGGAAGAGGTCCGACTGTGAAAAACAAAATTGGACTAAGTGACTAAGGTAGACAGGATCTTCAATCAAGACAGAGTTTTCAAAGCTTTAAGTTAAAGTACATTAAAGTCCATGTCTCTCATTGTAATTAAAGGACAGTTTTTAGGTGACCACTGTGCTCGGCTGCTGTAGAATACAGTGTTAAAATTTATCAGTGGTACCTTACCTTTCTGGGCACTGTCATTGTGATGGGTTCACACTTCTTGTCATGCAGCTTGAATAACCTGAAGATCAAACAAAGAGACAGAGGGGGAAAAATGACATGACAGTTAAGTTGTTGCACAGGATGCCTTTGTCTGGACTGAGAAATATTTCTACTTTAAAGTACTCATGACTAAAGCTTAAAACCTATTTGGTGCACGGACAGCATCTCACCTGGCAATCTCACATTTGCTGACGTCAACGCCTCTCTTGGGCATGAAGCCCATCCCTCGCTGAGGCTCCTTACTGCTGAAAGTGTTAAGGTAGTGGACATAGGGAGGCTCCTCCGTCACTTCAAAGTATCGAATGCTGCTGTCCCCCTGTGCAGTAGGAAACCAAGGGAAGAACACAGTTCCAAAAGAAATATTGACATGTTGTCATTGTCCCATGAGAATGGTAGCTTGGGTAGTCATTACTACCTTTCCACAGAGGTAGACCATGCTTGCGTCTGCATCATAGTATGGTAACAACACCCCATTACTTGTGTCCAGCTCCAACAGTGCAATCGGCTCCTCAAAGTTTGTCTATAAGAAAAAAACCCAAAACATTAGTAAATAAATAAATAATGAATCATATACATTTCTACGCAAGAGAGGCCTATTTGTTGTTACTGGGTCCCAGAGTCCAAGCTCTCGCTGACTCATTCTGGTGAAGCCTGTGGTGAAGATGTTCCCCTCTCTGGTGAAGATGGCTCTCATTGGCCGGATTCCTTCATGTGGAGCCAGACGTTCCTGATGAATAAAAGAGTAAAATACAGTGATTTTTTTTTTCTCACTTATCCGTGTAGTATATTGCTATATATCAAAGGTTGACAAAGGTATTTTTTTCAGAATGAAACCATGAAAAAGGTCATTAGTGTGATTTTAACTGCAAATGAGTGCATTTTTATTAATTTTTGACTTTTTCAGGAACCTATTAGTATAGTATTCTGCTTTTTATCAATGGTTCACATACCAAAAAAGTATATCTTTCCAATATTTTAACCATAGAAAAGTCTGTTGCTGTGTATTTTAAGGCAAATTAATATATTTATTCATTTTTGGGAAACTTTTATTTTGAAGACTTTTTCATAATATTATTAGCATAGTATATTACTGTTATCAATGGTTGATGTAAACAAGGTATATATTTTTAGTGCATTTTTGAGAAGCTCCTATTTTTTAAGATTTTTCCAGAAACCCATCATTCTCTCCGTTATTTTTTTGTTTTGTTTTGTTTTGTTTGTTTTTTCACTCACCGCAACCACTTCTCTCTTCCGTGGATCACAGACCCGCAGTCGTCTGTCCTTACAGGTGGTGCAGAACAAGCTGCCATTACGGTTCCAGCTGATGCTGTAGATGAGGTCTGGATGGTCGTCCATGGAAATAAGGGGCTCGCCTGTTCCCACATTCCAGATGATTATGAGGTTATCACTGCCTAGGAGGAAGTTGGAAAAAACAGATGTATGTTTGAACTGAGCAGAGAATAACTACACAATAAAACAGAACTCTCTGGAAATAACTCCTACCTGCAGTCAGTAATATGTTGCGTGCAGTTGGATGCCAGGAGACTATACCAACACGTTTGGAGTGTCCCTCCAGGACTACAATAGGGTCGGACAGGGGGCGGGTCAACGCCTTATCTGGTATCTGCCACACCTGGGGAGATAAGACCAAGGTAAAAAAAGTTACAGGAATTAAATCATTAAATCAAATGAGAGAACCACTGGAACAAGAGACCTGCATCCAAACTCCAGGTACATGTAACTTCAAAGCATTTATTTAATTTATAGAACCATAACTTTAACCTTCAATATATTCCTACTAATTTGAAAAAGAGGTATTTTATTCTTCTCAGTCTGGGTGTACTCAATAGACATTTGTACAGAGCATCAGTACCAGTTTTTGGGTGTGTAAAAACCTCTCTTGACCAGCACTCCTTTATGTCCTGAGCAACAGCATGGAGCCAATTCTTCCAAGTACATGAGAAAACAAACCATAAAACAGTCCTCTGAAAACCATGAAAACCCTGGGGGTCTAACAAAGACAAACACATACAGATATAAACAGATGGCTCCATGACAACACACACAAACAAATACACTCTCATATGTCTTTTCTGATGACACAGTGATCCTCTTCTGTGAAGAGGAAAAGAATGACATCACAGTCATGCTCCCTATAACTGCATAACAGCATGGAGGCCAAGAATGGACAGCTGCCCACACGCACCCACACACAGCTGGGTTTCAGGGAGTTGTGAGGACATCTCATAGACATAATGCATTCCCCAAAAGCATGCCTAATGTTAATCCTTACCCTAACCCCTAACCTGGCTGTAATTCACTAGTAGGGACCTGTACCAGAAAAATGTCCCCACATGGACAGGCATACCTGGATCACACACACACAAACAAACACACACACCTACTGCTATTGGAGAGGCTGGAATTCAACCACTGAGTTGTACAAATATTCCGGCCATGTTGCTGCGAACGTGTACTTAATTTAATTGACATAGGCTGGGCTTGTCAACTGTCCTCACTCAAACAAAAACAACAATGTCATACACACACATGCTGGCATTTTACCCATAAGGACATAACAAGATTGTAACGAATTGTGAAAACTGTAGTTAATTGGTTTATATTGGTAGTGTATAAATCCAGTGGCTGATCACTAACCAAGCTTGACACTTAGGTGAAATTCTAATATATAGCCCAATATATATAGTCGAAATAATGATTAATCAGATTAACATTTTTAGCACAACATGAAGGCAGAATGACAAGCACAGTACTGTATAGCCGACCTCATAATGCTGCCATTCGTCCATTTGAAATTGCGCTCATACACAGTTCATGCTCATGTTACTATTTGCACACGCTGTGGGAAAACGGTTTTGTTTAACAAAGGACTTTCATCCAAAGATACCATCCCCACGCCCGTCATGCGTTCACAGAAGTTGGCGACCTGCGTCAGACCAGCCTCACACTGACTGACACAACTGTTAAAAGCATTGCGAGGGATAATTTACAATATTTAATATTATTATAACAATTTTAGTATTGTTGAGGACAACCACTGAAGCACCTCCAGCCCTCACTCACATCTCTGGACCTGCTTTGTGCCGCACAGTGTTTTAAATCTGAGCTGCAGCTGCCATTGCTATTCTTAGTTCATGGTCAATGTCCAGCTTTGATCTGTATTTTGTTGTTGCAGCTAACCCCTGCAATAGGGGAGGAAACCACAGGTTAACCCAGTGAAGGGATGAAGAGGCAGGTCAGGTGAGTGCAGCTTGACACAGCTCGTTACTGTGACTCATTCAGAACTCCAGTAGTATTGTTGTTCATTGAAGTGTGACCGACTCTTATCTAAGGAAGGTCCTGTAATGTGCATCAACCTGTTACAACAGTTTGTCTTATCTTCACCATTGCAGTGCAGTCTTCTGAACAGCTGGCCAGGACGTTGTCATCATGTGGACACCAGTCGATATCAAGAACAGGTCCTGAGTGACCCACCACCAACGGGTAGTTCTTATCAACACGACCTGTCTGCAATACACACACACACAAATTAGGTCTACAAAACACACTGTCTTGTAACGGATGACATGGTTATAGTGTGGAATTCTATTGTTTTTAACATGGTTCAAACTTGTTTTACTCAACTTCAACATAAACACAGGTTTGATGTCAATCAGCCAAAAAGGTTCAGATTATTATTAGAATATATCTACCTTTGATTTAAATGACAAATCTTCTAAAGTTTTTCTTTTATAATTTGGACCAAAAACAAATTTATAAAACCACAATTATATGTAAAATTATTTTTACCTAACCACATATTCATAGGTACAATATTATGGAGATTGTCATCAAGTCTGAACCTTGGTAAGATGTGCCTAAAAATATAGGAAAAAAATCTCAGAAATTCCATTCCTTTGTTAGGTAAAAAACTAAAAAAGGCTTTTCATATTTTACTGTATCTTACCAAAATACAATATATTATAGTTAGTATATATGTATAGTATATTTGTATATTCACAAGAGAGGCTCTGGAACCTGTACTTTCTTTAAAATCCTGCCATTGTTTTAATTAACTCATAAACATTTCAGTTTATTTTAGTAAAATCCAATAATTTCTAAATTCCTCCCAGTAAAGACCAGTCACTATAACTTCTCCTACACTGTAAAAAAAAAGAAAAAAGAAAAAAAAGCTGACTAAATGGATCAGTTACAAAAAAGACTAAAGTGGAGCAAGATGAATAGATATAGTTTGTAACTAGGGCATAGATGAGCCGGGTTATTGCATCACTCCTTGTTCGTATCAGGTGAACAAGAATATCAACTTTTGTGGTATGTGTCCCTGCATCTACACATACACGTAGACACACTGAGACACACACACACACACACACACACACACACATAGCAGAAACACACCCAAAGCCTGGTGTATTTATAGCTGAGAGACTTGGCGTTGACAGGAGAGTTTGGGGTCCCAGTGGTGGAAGATGGAAGGTGAAGAGTGTGTGGGTGTGTATTAATAGCACATCTTTTCAGCATGACTGCAGTATACCATCATGTCCACTTCCCAGGGTTTTTATTTTATAATTGTAAAGTACCTGGCCTTCTGCTGCTGCTTTGTCATGAGTTACCACCTGATATCCTGATGGAATACAGTGTTAATGGTCTAATTTAAAGTCAAACATCAATGTCTATTTAGTTGAGTTACAATCTAATTCTTATGTGAACATAATGTTTTCTCAACATTATACTGCATACCCTTTTGAATTAAGATGCAATTTAAATAGGCACCACTAACCCTGGACCAGGATTAACACTTGGTGTTAGCTACCGGCTCAAAAGGAAACCTGCTGAGTGCAGGTACCTGATGGGGCAGGTCAAGTAAATAGCTGCAGCCTCTGCTGAATACAGGGTCATCATCAGCTATTTGGAGAGCTCTGACTGGAGCCCTGGATCTGCAGCTCGTTGAAGAGCGAGCGAACTAGTGTTTTTATCTTAAAGAAAATGTTTTACACAATTTTTAAAAATTGCTTAGCACATAATTTTTTACTTTTCTATTATTATTATTAGTATTGACTTGCTGTTATAAGGAAATGATAAATGGCTTGTGGTTTTTTTTAAATATACTTTTTCATTTTTAATGACAACTTTATTATTTAACCTTGTTAACCTGGTATTAAACCCACCTGGTATTAAACCCACAGGTATCAGGTATCAGACAACTACTCTAAGCTACAACTACAGCTACCCTAGGATAACATAATAGATAGATAGAACTTTATTAATCCCTTGGGAGTTCCCTTTGGGAAATTAAGGAAAACATGTTCCCTCACCGGGAACCTAACCCCGGCTGTGGCGGTGAGAGAGCCAAATCCTAACCACTAGACCACCAGAGAACACATTTATTTAATTTCATTTTACCATAGCACACAGTTACTAACATTACACAGTCAAAAAAAGTTGATGTGCATCAGTCAATTTGCATATAATAAATTATATGTAATTATATGTACAGTTCTTAACTCTTCATTTACGTCAGTAAAGTATGTCCTGAAGAGGTCATGGCCCCAATCACAACATAGTAGATGCATGGACTCTTTAACTGACGCGTTATATATATCTGCTGGCTTAGTGTGTGATTGACAGCTAATCTGCTAAACACATTTTAGTCAGGTGTGAGTATATTGTTTTTTTTCTCAGCAGAGGATTATCAATTCACAAATGTAACACCTAATTATACGGAAAATTACCTAAACACTGTAATTACAATCATAAAATCATCTGATAATACATTTATATTAATTTACATGGTTCTGGATCCAGTGAAGCTCTAATGGTTATTTACAAGGCTTTCTTTTAGCAGTTTCATCACTTCGTTACATTTAGTTTGTTGTGCGACATAAAAGTTATAGGAGAATATTTAATGCAAGTTTGAAGTTTGAGATTAGCACATTATTTCATATTCATCTGTAGGAGATCAAAGTTTGAAGTTGTGGACAGCAGCCCTGTCTTATGATCTCACTGACCTTGGAGAGTGGTAGGACCAGGAAAGCCCCTCCACCGCTGGATTCAACGATGACGGCCAGGAACTTTGGGTTGACAGCGCAGAAAGAGCTGTCCCACGTCACCTTGGAAACACGGATGTCATCGTAACCCTGCTCAGCCTTGACCGCCTGGCCAAAGACGTGGCGAAACTTACTCTGCCGCACAATGCTGCGACTCATGACTGAGGAGACGGGATGAAGGCAGGATGAAGAAAGAAGACATGGAGGGAGAAGATAAAAGAAATGGATTAGAAAGAACATGGGAATTCAATCTCAGGTATACATAGACAAAGTTGTGGACAATACCTAAGGTCATTATTTACTTTGTCTTATATCATGTGAATAATGAACACTGAAATTCATCTTTGTTATGGGATGTTTATAACTTCAAATAAGAGAAAATGTTACTTAATATTAAATGATACCAGTTGTGTTTACAAACCATATTGTCCTGTGGCTACCAGGCGACAAGCTACAGGGACTAATCCTCCAAACCACCAGAGATGTTGTATAACAGAGCTAACCTTAGCATAGTTATTAATAGGTGATTGTCCCAGCACAATATACTGCCTGCAACGGCCAAACACCAGAGAGAGACACAAAGTAGAAGAGCAGCAAATCCCAGGGTGTTTCCACAACGCTGACACTAAAACCCTCATATTAAAGTAGGTCGGTGTTATTTATCTGAAAGGACTTACAGTAAAATATGTCAAATGGGATTATTTTACTGTTGTTGGTAAACAAACAAATAGTTTCAGGTAATCCAAGATTTAAAAAAAAAAAAAGAGAGCGAGAGAGCAGTAACTCTGCTGTGATCACTGGACTATGACAAGGTTATTAATCACACATGACTCGATCAGAGTACGACAGATGTTCTCTTCTATGTATCAGGAAGTATTTAGACAATTTATATGGTATAAGATTTTCATGATAAAACGTTCAGTTACTGTAAGATTTTTTTTTATTTGAAACATTGACTTATCAGTCATCTTTATATCCATTTCATATAAAATGCTTAAAAATACAAAAAAGTAGACACAGAACAATAGATAATAGCTCTGCCTTCTAAGGTTTGTGAGTTTTGTCATGAAAAAGTTTAACATAATTTAAAACTTAACCTGTTAAACTTTAAGTGTTTTTTTGTTTTTCTCAACTAGGACGGAAGGCGTGTCTTGTAATTTCATGTTGAATTGCACTTGTAACAATATTTTGGGCAAGACCAGAGGCAAAAAGTTAAGTCTTGCTGTGTGTTTTAAGATCCTGGTTTGAATAATCAGGATGCACTCACAGAGAGCATACAATAATATATCTGGTTGTGTTGTTGTTTATTTTTTACTAATAATAAAGGGTTATTTGATTAATGTCAAATATTCTTCTTCTATATAAAAAAATGTCATTTAAGAAGACAATTAAATAATGTGAGAAACATGTTATTGATTATTTAAAGGGAAAACCCTTTAACTCACTTAACGTTTAACTCTCCTTCAGGGTAATGGGATTAGTCTTCACTGTTGTGCATGGCACAGCTAAGGGTATGTCGAACAGAGCCAAAGAATGACACTGCCACTTTCCTAATATAGCCATAACAAACTGCACTGTCCCAACCGGGCCAGGCGCTCCTCCTCTTCCTCCTCCTAGTCCCCCTTCCTCCTCCCTCCTTGGTTCCTTCACTCTGCTCCTGACTCCTCAACAGTCCCAGAATAAAGACGGTGCGCACTGTAGTGCTTTACCGTGAATGAAGAGGCGGTAAATGTTAAGGCAGTTAAATACACTACCACCATAGTCCCTCACCCTTGAAAGTAAGCCGTCGGCTGCTATATTCACTTCGAGCTCTGCTCCGGTGCGCAATCTCAAATGGAACCACATTGGTTTCTGTTTCATCCATACGGAGTGAGGGTGAGGCAACTGCTCGCCAGTGCGGTTACGACGCAACTTGACGCACAGCTCATACCACTGCAGCAACCGTACTGAAGCATGAGATAAAGCAAAGGAAAGAGGACTCACCTCAGGCCCTGGGAAGACCCCACTTTCCCTGCACAGTACTCGCAGGTCGCGTACCCTGGGTGTCTTCCTCTTGCAGCCGATTACGATTGTATTCCTGGTCAGTGACAGTCCTTGAGATGCGCTTTCCTGGAGTTGGTGCGCACCGAACCACTGTGTGGGTAGGGACAGAAAGAGAGGGGAGAGCAGCGGGGGCAGTGCAGGGGTGAGTGGGGGTGAACTGGTGGTTGAGGTGTGAGTGGGTGGGTGGAAGGGTGCTGTCTATTTTGGAACAGGCTCTGTCAGTGCAGGGAAACGTGACGCGCGCCGGTTGCAGAGGGTCAGCGCGTCACCGAGGGTCTGTCTCTCAGTGGTAGGCTGACTGTAGATAGAAAAACTTGCAGTGGCGCCCTAAAGAAGGTGTCGGGGGGAGGGGGGATGAGTCAAGGGATTAATTCAAATATTTAACTCAAATTATTTATTAATTTGTCTAAAAAAAGATTTCAAACAATTTATTAGTTGTATAACTATGTATATCCGTCTCCAAATTAATAAGTTACATTTCATTTCAATTTGCTCTAAACTATATTATTATTTCCCTAACCCATACAAACCAGTCTTAGGTTCAAGGTCAACTGTCTACCTTGTTGGAGAAACCAGCAATATGCATGTTCATCTTTCACTTACGTCAGGAGAAGGTCATGTCACCATTCGTTGCCATGTCTGATCAGTTTACATTCACCTGAATTAGAGAAATCAAATATCCTTGATGTCCTCCTTCATGCTGGTCAGGGTAATGGTCAACTTTCTATATGATGAAAAATAAATATCAAAACAACACAAAACTGCAACATTTTCAGGCATGTTTCAAGGACACAAGACGGCAGATTCTAAATAACTTCCATTGTTTAATGGTCACAGTTGAAGCACATGATATAAAAGAATATTTACACTGATAGATTAAAATAAAGAAAACAACTGGCTTTGACAACACACACACATACCCCACAGCCTTTACTATCTAAGCATGCACCTCAGAACTAGCAATCACACGGAAAACACTTAAACTTAAGCTACATTTAACATAAAAATTAAAAAGGGAGTAAAGTGCATGGATGACAGACCTCCCTGTACAGACATTTCTGATAGGACTGCAGAGAAGCGTTCACTTGCTCGCTCTCTCTCTCTCTCACACACACACACACACCTACAAAGTTTAAAAAGGAAATACTTAAAAAATAAAAACTTGTGCTACGTTGTTGCACTCGCATACAGACAGCAACCAGATATAAAAAAACAAAACATAAACAGTTCCTAAAAACGCAATCCTCACAATGAAGACCATTTGCACCCCAGAACAGAAATCCAAATCCCCGTCAACTACCCTTAAAACCCCCCAAAACAACCATACCAAGTGGCATCAGAACTGTGACAGGACACAAGAGACACAAACATCACTTCACTTTATCAAGTAGTAAAATTCAAATTCCTTCTGATTGAGATGGATCCTTCCAGAAATCCAGAGTTTGACATATGTGCAGGTCAGGTTTGGTTCAGGTGTACTGAGGTAATGGTGTTTGAAAGGTGAAATAAAAACAGCACGCCTCCTCACCTTAAGGGGTGTTTTGGTAATAATATCCAATAATTATGCAACTGTTGACTCTGTGGAGCTGTTCCGTTGGTATACAGGAGAGCACATAATCACCACGTTGTGAACAGCGCAATTACTCAAGCATGTGTGAAAAACATTGGCGCACAAGATGATGAAAACACCGGCTACATTCCGCCACCTCCCATCAGTCAGAGCTGATTAGTCAACTGGCAGCAAGCAAGTGAATATGAAGGTGTCGATAGAAAGACCAGCAATGTGTGAAGGCTAAGAGTGTGCAGGCTCAGGCATTGGAAGAACTGTACTGATTTATAATATGCAAATGGTGCTCCAGTTCCAGTCTGACTGCTTCTTTTTTTTTTTTTTACTTTTTAGCCCATACCGTCACAGCCATGACACTGCCTTAGCAATGAGACAGGTATCTCAGATATGTGGAGGCTCGCTGTGATCTGTAGGGGATATTTACACACATCACCAATCGTATTCTTTTAAGGCAAGAGGCATTGCTTGGTTTTGCTGGATAAAGTTGACATTTACACTTCATCTTCAGTTGTTCACAGGTGTGGGCTACATTACCTGTTCTCTTTTCATCACACATAAACACACAGTCACACAAACAGAGAGAGAGAGAGAGAGAAAAAGAGAGAGAGAGAGAGAGGTGGGGATGCGGAGGGGGGGGGTTACATTGTGTGGTAAACGGTACTGACAGTTCTTTTCTTAAGACGTCTCAGTGGGTGAGTCCTCCCGTACTGCTGCCTTGTTGTCATGAGTGACAGGTCAGGAGAATGCACAGATTCAAGGTCAGGGTTGTCAGATGTTTCCCTTTGTGAACTGCAATGTGATGATAAAGAGACTACGGTGGAGGTTTCTTCAGGTTCGGAGAGATGCTCTACATCATCCCCTGGGACATCATGCTGCTGGTCAGCTGAAGACAGACACGCCTGGACCCGCTGCTTCTTGGAGTCATCACCTATATGAACTGTAGGTATTGCTGAAGGCAGACACACAGATGTGCGACTGAGCTCCCACTCACTCAGGTCATTGGCCAGCAGTTCCAGACAGCCAAGCTTTGCCAGGGAAGCGGATCGTTTCATCTGGGATGGAGGGGTCAGGCCTGCCTGGCGAATCCTGGCTTCCACCTCTCTGACCTTCTTCTGAATGCTGCTACATCGGGTCTGGGGGGCACCGGCACCAAGGCCAAAAACCTGGTCCACACATCTGGTCTTGTGGACACCTTCAGTGCTCACCTGCTGCAGAAAAGCACTCAGCTCACACAGAGTCTCCCATGTCTCCCTCAGAACAATGTCACTTGGAGGTCCCACTGTGGTGTAGTTCCAATCTGTGGCCGACTCCATCTCTGTCACTCCCTCCAGACACAGGAAGTTCACAGAGGCAAAGGGTGAAAGGGAAACGTGATGAAAAGGATAAGAGGTAGAGAGCATTCTAATATCAGCAGGCTGGAGTTTGTGTACTTTTGTGCTTGCGTCATTATATCCGTGAGCACCTTCCTCAGTTTTATCACCACTCTCCCTTTTAATCAATTCAAATGTCCTATCATCCTCCACAGATGTAGGATTGACACTGGGCATGTGTCCCTGTGAGCAGGAGGTGCTACCAGAAACGAATGGTGGAGAGGAGGAGCAGGTAGCTGGAGTTTCATGCTCCTGCTTCATTCGTTCTTCCAGCTGTTGAGTGACACGCCGCACAGACCCCCTCGTCCAATCCCTGTAGAGTCGAGCCGTACCCACCTCGTCCTCTTCTTTGTTTTTCACTTCCTCCTTGACATTCTCAGCTTCATTCTTTGATGAAATATGTATGTCTTTCATTTCCTGCACAGACATCAGTACATCCAGATCCTGAAGGACTAGTGGTTGGCTAAGACGGCTAAAAGATGAAGAATCTGTGTGCACTGCAAGCTTCGGTCCTGTGGCCTGCACAGCGTTAATGATATCCTGCAATAAACACAAAAGTATTTAAAGTTTAATAACACCAATAAAAATCGATAACATATGGAAACATGAAAGTAGTGAGCTTTAACCTTTTATTCTATCTGTGACCACTAGGTGGTGCCCTTAGACTCTGCACTGTTTACCCTTGAGAAGTAGAAATGCTAAAGTTGTACAAGTACTATCCCAATATGCCTAAATGTGACAAAACAATCTCACATTCTATTGAAACGACCTAATGCAACATGTTTGCCCTGAGCAGAAGCCTTACTTTTCTTTTTTCCTCCTCTTTCTCCCCGATGTTGGACATGTCGTGTAGCAGCAGTTGTTCCTTGGCACAACTCTTCAGTGGTGGTGACTGCTGCACTGCAGCACAGTGAGTTTTACCATCTTGACTCATTCCCTTGAATTTTTCCCTGGCACTAAAAAAGTTAATGTGATCTGCACTGTGGCCCAGCAACACTTCATCGTCTTTAGGAATGGCACTGGTATAGCTGATAAAATCATTAGCAGAGGGAGGATCCACTGCTACACCCTCTGAAGACAAGCCACACATCTGTGGGTCACAGTCCACTTTTTTGACAGGCACTGGTGCTGACACACACGGTGGCTCAGTGGACTGTGTGCTTGGTGATTGTGTTGTTTTGGGCTGAGGCACTGACACGGTTATGAGATTTGCCACCGGTATTTCCTGTGGTTTGTTATCCTTGTCCACACATGTTGGAGTCAGGGATGGAGCAGGGGAAGTGGGGAGGTGGTGAAGAGAAGGGGGAGGGTGGGGCTGGCCCACCACAACACTCTCTGCAACAGTCACTACATCTGTCTTTTGGGGCTCTGGCACCACCGTGGCAGCCGTTGGCTGGTAGAAAGAAGCTGATGATTGCTGCTCTTCAGGGTCACATAAGCCATTTGAGAGCGGCTGGGATAACTGAGACACAGAACCAGCTGTGGACTCGTTGCCATGTACTACAGGAGAAGGAACAGTAGTCTCCAGGTTTTCTGTGACAGTGTCATTTGTTAGAGTTGCAGCTCCCTCAGATGATACTGAGCTGAGCTGATTGGACTGGGTGCTAGTATCCTGAAGGCTAATTCTGCCAGCATTGGGTGGGCTTCCCATCGATTCCAGCAGTTCTATCACAGAGGGCCCTGGTGCACTGCTGACCTGGTTATGAGGGTCAGAACGACCAAGACTATGAGGTTGGCCATAAGATTTGGAGAGGGGCTCATGATGCTCGGACAGATCGCTATCAGAGTGCGAACGCCACAGTTTGTTGTGCCTCTGCCGACTGCAGGTGAATCAAAACAAGCAAAGATAAACGTTAACACATCAGGTGGTAAAATAACTAACATTATTCTCAAAATGTATGCAAATCCCAATTCCAAAAAGGGTGGCATGAATTAGTCTGTAATTGTAATGACAGTTTGTCTTGATATTGATAAATGGACACGCTTCAGTAATTATATATGTCACTTCCAGATAACTACACAGGTGCTGATGTCACTGTGTATACCTGGCCAGTAATATCCCCTGATACTCCTCCAGCTGCCTCATAAAAGAAGGGTTCGGCTTAGTCACAGCTCGTCGCGCCTTGACATAATCGAAGGCTTTCTTTAAATCCCAGCCATACTCTTTCATGGCATATGCGATCACAGTGGCTGCAGAGCGACTTATCCCCATTTTACAGTGCACCAGACATTTGGACCCAGCTTTCCTAGATTGAAGATTACATATTACACAAATACACATATAAATGATCCTGTCACTCATAGAAAGGAAGAGAAGGGAACATGTAGTCCTGTAGAACATACTTGGCTCTGGAGATGAACTTGTAGGTGTCATTCCAGTAGGCGAGCAGATCAGTAGCCTCCTCATCGTAAACACGGATGTTGTGGTACTCGAACACACCGGGGAAGAAGTTATCAATCTCCCTTGTCACGTTGAGTATGTACTGAACACTGTGAATGTAAGTTATAAGAAGAACGTTTGAAACACACCTTAGGGCTTAATGAACATTTTAGAAGCAATTGTTCTCAAATTATGTACCTCGATGTGATTTTATTGGCTACAAGGTTTGTTTATGTAATGCATGTACAGTAATTGGTGGTGCTGCATCTGCTGTTCTTCCTTACCCACTGTCCTGCAACTCCTCCAAATTGGATGCATTCCACTCAGATCCCTGTAGAGAAGAACAAAAGACTTTAGGCCTTATCCAGCCTTGTTCTGAGCCTTGTAATGTCTGTTGTTCAATGTGCAATCCAAAACAAATAAAAACGAATCACCTCAAAATTAGACACTACAGTTATCTAGTAGTGTATTCATTTCTCTTATACTATTAAAAACATTTTTTCTTTAGTCATTGTTGAATAGTTCCATAGCCTGTTCATTTCCATGCACTGAGCATCGTAGCAACGGCACACATGGGATACGATGAGTCTCACCAAAAAGACATGATCAAAGATCTCAGTAGGGCTGTCCATCTGTCCCAGAATGACAATCATCTCGTTGTCGATGAACTCTTTGAACTCCCGTAGGTTGCATGTCATGTGCATTTCCAGCTCTGTGCGGATCTATAAGGTATAAAGAAAAAGCAAAGAGCTTACCAAATAAGTGAGGCCACAGTCCCTCAAACAAACAAGTACAATTTAGAAGATGCACGTCTTAGACTTAAACAAGTCTGTGGTCAAGAACGTTAGTAATTTAAAAGTTGATGAGACCTGCATGATAAGCAAATACTGACTTCTTTACAGGTGACGTTTTCGAGGTCTTTCTGCATCATGATTTCCCTCAAACTGGTCTTGATCTGACGCTCTGTCAGCTCTCTTTCTGTAGGTCTACAAACAGTAAAATTTAAGCATTGTGTTTATCAAATACATTTTACAAAATCATGTCAACATCATCAGGTTACAATAAAAAAGTATACACATGATCAAAATACTTACGCATCAGAGAAAAGGACAGGTGAGTCCGCACGGTGTGACTGCACATCCTGCATGGCATTCCACTCGTTGATCAGCGCCTGGTCAGAGGACACCCTACTTTGATAGTAGCTGACCCAAGTGAGAAACAAGCTGCCGGGGAAGTAGTTATGAGAACGAGCGACCTCACATGCTTTATGGAGCGACTGAAGAGCAGACCTGTTTAGTAAATAAAGACAAAAAAGGGTCAGAGAAAATATGAGAGAGGAAATTTAATTAAAAAAATTGAAATGTATAATTTTTAAAAAGTGACTCACCACATGGCCTGCACAGAAACAGGCTTAAAAATATGCACTCTGCTATCAGTTGATACACTGAAACCCCTACAGGTGAAAAGAAAAAGAGCAAAGATGGTTGGCATTAGCCATCTGAGCTTACTGTTGCTAAAATAAAAAAAACAGAATCTGCTGAACATTTTTTTTACCCATCTCCATCTAGATGTATCAACGTGTCACTCCATAAAGGCAGAACCAGTCCTACAGAACATGAACTGAAGAAAAAAAAAAAACCCGACATAATTTTCAACTATGTCATCTTTAAACAGGCTAAACATACCATAGAATCTCAGTGTTGCTCCTCTCTAACCTGTCTATGGGACTGAAATCCATTCCCAGCACCACACTCTCCTCCGTATCCTGGCGACCATTGGTTGAAACCACCACCATGTATCGAGTGAACTGAGGATGAACACTTTCCAAACGAACCGCCTGTCGTGGAAAACAAACAACGTCAATCTAGAAAAGGAATTCTGGACGTGTGAACGTAAAGTGTGCACCTACGAGTTTGATGTTGTCCTCTGGTCTGAGAAGAGTGAACATGGTTTGTAGGTGCTGCTGGATGTCACCTAGCGCAGTTAGGGACGGAAATGTCACAATTAATTCATTCAACACAGGAAAGAAACAATACAACCTACGTTGTTCTCATGGTTTAAAGCATTCATAATACCTGCATGTTTGCTACGCAGCTGTGAAAAGCGGGAGGCAGATGATGTGGAGGAGCCATTTCCTCGAGGTAAAAACAGAGCAGCTCCTTTAACTGTCAGGAAACTTTCACTGATGCTGAAAGAAAGAACATACAACTTCGTGAACACAGTGTGTGTATAGAAATGCTGTCAGACTCAATTTACCTCAATAATAAATCCAAATATTGTCTTGTATTTTCTCAGAAAACAAGCCCGAGCCACTGTGCAAACAATATATAAAGAGCAATAGCTAAAAGATTTAATTCCTTAGGATGTTCCATCTATGCTGAACAATATTCCAAATGACGGTAGTTGACAGTCCATGATGGCTCAAATGTTTTTAAGATTAAATGTTGTAAAATGACACGAGGCACAGAGTAAATGGAGTGCTATTATTCAATTCATCAAACACGTGTGCTCCTAAACAAAAAGGGTTCCATAGAAGATAAATTCAGAACAGATTACTATAAGTCAGCTGACTGTTGACTGTTAATTAATACCAGCATCTTGTGCCAACATTTGTCCTCTGAAGACAATTGTCACATGATTCATCACATCCACTGATTCATGAACAGTCTCTTGCTTACACCATGTGCAGTACTGTGCTGTACTGACACTCCAAGACGCATTTATGGCACAAAAAATGTAGTGCATGTACGTAGAATGTGGCAGGCATTTCACAAGGAGCAAAAAGGGAAGGAAACCTCCAACTTCTGACTCTGCTACCACATCCTTCCCATTAGTCATCATGGGAAAAACCACATACTTGCATCATATGGGCCCGTAGCCAAACATTAGAAAGCTGCGTTTAAGTGTGTCGCAAGGATTGTCTTAGAAATCCTAATGCTTACATCACCTCTGTTTATTTGGAATACCGTTTAAACATAAGCTGTTAGTCTTTAGCTACTGCTGCAAAACAAACAAAAATATTTAAGTCAAAAGTTACAAAACTTACAGACGACAGATCCCACCCGGTGAGATGACAGAGTCGTTGATTAAATGCGGTCTCTTTGGCGCCCCGCAGCAGGCGCAGAAGCAGCCGGCTGATGAGCTCCGTGGAGCGGTCACAACACCGGGAGGCATCGCTGCTCCGTAGGCTGGAGCAGGGCGCACAGGAGCGGGATAGAGTTACTGAACGTCGCAAATCTGCAACTTTTACTCTGAGTTATTTAAAACCCGCTTTGAAATATATTATGCAAAGCGCAAATATGTTATCGCGAAATCAAATAATGGGTACAAGGAAGTTCCCCCAGTCTGCAACACTGTAGGTGTTTCTGCAGCGGCCGCAGTAAAAACGTATTTCTGACTGACATGGGAGGAGACAAGGCCGTCCAATCGGTGACAACAGCCAGCTGTCTATGGCTCTATGGAGGTTTGTTAGTGCCACACCAGACACTGCCACTATTTTTTAGCCAATAACTAAAAACCATCCATTTCTAGCCAAGTCTTGAATTTATCCCAATAAGAATACGGCATACATCAGGATGAGGAGTTGATGTTCTGGTCGTGGGAGCAAGGGACTTACAGATGTTTCAAATTCAAAAACTTTTTTAATAATGAGATTTTTCAATGTCATGTTCCAGTCACCCATTTGCCTTCAATCTAGCTTATGAAAAAGTAAATATTTAGTATTTCTAACTATACTTGATTAACATTTAGGAGTTTATTTGTTAAAATGCATTTCATAAACATCTACAACACAACAAGAAAAAGTTCCCATATTATAAGTATTTAAACGCAAGGCTTGTTTGTCAATAACAGTTACCAGGTATTTATGTCTTGTTATGGGCTAGATACTGTGTGTATTCACAAGGTATTCCATGACAACACTTCTCCTTATTATGCAATAATTAATCCCAGCCCTACAGGAATATCTTCTCTAGAGTGCTTGCCACACATGGGTCACTTTTGTTTGGTGGAAACCCTGGTGCCGAAGGAAAAGGTGACAGAGTTGAGTAACTACCTTTGAGTAACTAAAGGAACATTCTCACTGGAGTCAGCAACACCTGACACCACATGGGACACCAATTCCATTAAAGGCACAACAACACAACCACAACAACAACAACAGAGATTGAGAAATCCAACTGGAGACATCGGAGAAAAACTTGACCTTGGGCTTGGTTTCCCTGCTTGGTGATTACTCAAGATTTCAATTTGACTGTCAGTTCACATGTCAAAGGGAAATGCACATTTATTAAATGAAATCTTAAGTGTCAATAACAATTGCAGCAGTGCTTTTATAACTATGTCCTGCTCTGTGGTTTGGTTCTTTGGCCATGCATTCAGTATTTGTTTCATTTTACAAACTTAGGGTTAGGGTTAGCAAGTACGATGTTTCCCCTTAGTGACGCCGATGTACAATTGTAATATTTATTAACTACAACCAACATAGTGCTGTAAATATGATGTGAAACACACCTATAACAACTTTTTTTTTAAGATAGATTTGTTATATTTTGAAAAAACTAAATTTGTTAGCAAAACTCCGTAATATTTTCAGGACTAATAAGTTTAATTTGTGAAATTAAATAAATACAATTCTTTACACATTTTTATAGAATTAAGTATAATCATGACCAGTCATGATTTTCTGTTATTAATCCATGTCTTCCTTGTGATCAACCAGATCAACATTTTAATCTTTTAATCATTTTAATTATTAGTAATAGACAATCTATTACTAAAACCTACAATACCATGTAATCAACTATGTCCGGAAACCAAAGACTACTTAATCTTTTTGTTATTAATAGTGAAGATGTCTCTTATGAAATCTCAACAATGATATTTTGATTAGAATAAAAGGTAATACATTATTATATATATATTAATTATACTGCAAAGCTCTTTGTCATAATTCAAACAAAAATCAATAGTCTAAAGGCTGAATAATCTTTTAAAATGTTATGTCCTAGGAGTAAAAAAAATCAGAACAAATCAAAGTTTGAAAGACTTGAGTCTTGATATCAGCCGGGAAAAGAAAATAGTGGATCATCTGCAGTTATGAATGTTGGCACAGCTGGTCTCAGAATTAGGGTATATGTTTTAACAAAGATGTTGTAATACAAACCAAGTAGTATTATAGGCTGTAGTGATTCTGCCTCTCAGCAACCAGTGTGTTTCTGTGTGTTTTTGAACACATCTCTCAAGTTCCACCCAACTGTTCTCTCATTTGTCTGCTGAAATTCACACCATCCAATGACGAGAAGAAAGCCCAGTCTGTGGATGTTACAAGCAGACAGACACCAGACACTCCACTGTGGCTCTAACGTCTCCAAGTATACAAACACACCGACAGTCACCTTAGGGATCGGATCACATAGATAATATAGTGCAGCACAGACTCTTTAGTCTTTCAGCATACAGATGAACTGCCTTTCAGGTGACATTGGACAACAGGCAGGGCACAACCTGGACAGATCATTAGCCATGGGCCACACATGTAACCACTAACAGACACAACTACAGGCAGCTTAGATTCATGAGGTGAACTAGAAAATATTTTTTCCATTAAAATAATAATAGGAAAAGAACAAAACATTTGCATTATTTTTTTTAACAGTGAAGACTAACCATTTGTTTCACTGTTGGTACCTGAAATCCATAACTTAAATCAATTTCTTTATTCTATAAATACTATATTATACTATACTTTGTATACTAATTGCAAGGTATTGGATCAAAGTTGCGGTAGACATTTTTAAATCTAATTGTGGAGGCACAAAGCATTCCTAAACACCCTCACTATCTATGTCAGTTTTTCGATGACATAAAAAAAAGTGGGGAATAGAAGTCAAAACTGTGACTCTGGTGTTGCTAATTAATTCAAGACAAAAATGCAAGAATTCCTTCAGTGACATTGCTGTCATAGCTGACGTAGGCTCCTGCTGATGTCAGTGACGTTCAGTGAGAACGATCAGTGAGACTGCGGAGGGACCTGCTTACGCAGACACACACGCAGCACCACTAAATTTTTTTTTCAGTCTGAATCAATGTCAGTGTCAAACATGCTGATATTTAGGGGATAATTCCAAAAACAGGAGAAATGATGGTAAATGAAATCAAATCATTTTTAGTCACTAGGACTATAAAATCTGAAATTCAATCATCATACCACATAATGATTAGGTCACCATGTTGATGCTCTGTGATTCAACAAGGTTTCCAAAGTCATTAACTCCTGAAACTATTATATTATTGTTCATATTTAGTGACTGCATTACAATACAACAAAACCATATTTTCAGAAGATTTTGGGATTCTAGGTTTGATAAGATGATAAAAAAGGATTTCTCCTCTGAGTGTCTGGTATTACATGAAGAGACACTACAGACACTCAAACAGTTTTCCTTGACTTTCCTACACTTACTACATAACTTCTTTAATGTGTCTGACTCAACAACACAGGCCGGTTCCTTTAAAAACTGTGTACCAGTGTACTTAAAACAAAGATGGCTTTCTTAGTATACACTAGTATACTTAGTGTGTGTTTGATGTGGAAGTTTGTTAAATGGAAAAAAAATTAGGATTTGGAATTTGGATAAGTACTCCCAATTAAACCATGTTTTCCACACCTGGCTTAATTATTGTGAAAAATTATACATCATGAGCAGGTATTGTTAATGGAAGAAAACTATGTTGACTCTTTTACACACAAGCATCACATTAATACTTGCACACAAACACATACTTGCTGTGTGAATATAGATTTCACTCCCAGCTGCACAAATACAGACAGCCCTGTGAGTAGGATGGCCCCGTGACCGGACAAATACAAAGGGAGTGGCTACCGAATTTTAGAGAGTCTTCTGCCCTCTAAAGGACACACAGGGAAACACTGATTTTCAAATAGAGATAAGAATGGACTTGTGAAAATTAAATCTGGTATTAAAAAAAAATTAACACAAGGACAATTGAAAGTGTTATTAAAGTCAAGTCTCTGTCTATACATATTCAAAACAAGTGTTGGCATACTTTAGTGTACAAACAGGTATACATTACAGCAAACATTCAAGTAAAAACAGGAAAACCCTGTCTTACAACTCTAATGCTTGAGGCAACACAGGACATGCAATAAATAACCCAGCAGCACAACACTGCCATAAGACAAGAGCATCCCTTAGGCTCCGACACATGCGATTGTGTGAGAATCAATCGTGACTCCCTACTACTTCCCATTCGCAAGTCAAGGGTCAGCAGCAGCCACATAAGAAGCTCTGTGTTTTAATTATGGACTAAGAGGTCACAAAGGCAAACGATGACAGGAATTTCAGACGAAGCATGCAACCCTACAAAACATAGGTCAGTGTCGTACCTCCGTGGTTGAGAGCGGCGATCATCCTCTCCACTGCCGGACTCCTAAAGAAAGAAACAATGTGAGAGAATTAGTTAGTAATACGATGTGTGCGTTAAAATAAATAAATATGATCGGATATCCCTGACAACAACAACAGGAACCAGACCAAAACAAAGAATAAAAAGAATGTGATTGGAGCAGGAAGGACATTTAAAAAAAACATAAATCTCTGGTCACTGGTGTACAAAAAAAAAGGAAACTTATTGTTTATAGACTTGATTCCAGTTCTGTAACAAACAGACAGGTCCTCTTTGTGATTATTCACTAACTCAGGGCCACTTCATCTTACCTTGAGAGTTACTTGTTTCTATGGAAAAAGTTTTTTAAAGCTACTGGAGGAGTTGGCTAGGCAAATTAATGTCGCAGTAAAATTCTAATTAATTGATGCATACCTTTTTTTTATCACTAGAGTATTTCGAGTATGAAGTATCTTGTATGTATATATATCCTTTACGTATTATCTGTTACTGCAAGCAAATCCTGTTCAAAAAAATAACTTTTGTTCATATTGCAGTAGTTTCAAAACAAATAAAATCATGAACCCAAATATCAACATAATAACTGGTTGATAGTTTATTAAAAAATTAAAGGATACATAAAGTTTTTAAAAATGCATAATTTTTATTGCTAAATTTTGCCAATAGACTGTAAAAAATAATCTAAAAAAATATTTCTGGAAAACCACCTTTTGTGTGAGACAGTAGTTAGTCAAACAGCTCCTGTAGATTGTTAACCACCTTCTGTAAAACACGTGACACTGAACCAATACTACTCTCAATGTTGACTGCTTTGTAATAAAGTCTGGGGGGTGTACAACTTGTAAGGTATAATAAAAGTTTACTAAATATTCAATTCTTCTTGGTAGAGTTAGAAAACAGACTGAAAGGTTCCTGAGAATAATTTAAATACCTAAACTAAACACTATTCTTAGATATTTTTCAATAAGACATTTTCTCTGCTGCTGTTCCTTGCTGATGAACCTACCATTGCATCGTATACTTCAGCTTTTGTTTAGTTGTGAAAACAACACGTATGCTTTGCATACATGAAAATGTGAGAGGATTTTCAGCACCTAATGGAAATGTTCATCCTGTGCATTTGGATATGTGTGAAAGCAGAAACAAGTCTACAATGTACCGAGATTCCACAGAGGGATCCAAACGAATGCACCTGTGTGTTTCCACATCAAACACCCTTAATGTTACCCTTCTCTGAAGCAACTGGGCCAAACATGACTTTGAAATAAATATGCCCCAAGCAAAAAAAACAAACAAACACACAAACATCAATCAATAGCAAAATATACCACCTATATATACAGGAAATAGGAAACTATTTTCACCATGTGCACAAATCGTGTAAAGGACAAATTCTCTTTTGAGTTTGTGAATGATACTTAGAGTGTGAAATTTACAACAAAAATAGTTCAACAGCCTTAAAATTATGCTACACAGTGATCAATAAAATCTGTGATGGAGCATTTGGCAAGTTTACACTGTTAATTTAACAATGCTATCAGATTGGTAATGAGTTTATGCTGGTGCATAAAGTCCAGAAAACCCAGCCCTAACATTTACACAATTTCTGTGCATCTTTTACATTTATAAAGTATCAATGGTCGTGTAAATTCTGCAAATGTGTGATTAAGTGTATTGTCAACACCATTTTCAGCCACACCAAATCAATCCAACGTTGTTTTACCACATCCTGTTGACACTGATTGACGACTGGTTATGATACTTAACTGATTTCAGATGACATGCTTTGTATTTTTCAGTAAACAAACACGCATAAACAGAAAGAAAAGTTATAAAGAAGACAAGGGGACCCAAAAAAAGACACGTCCACAATCTAGTTTGCAAACTACGAAAGCACTTAGCCATAGAGCAGGAGGCTTTGCATTCCTAACCATTTACTATAAGCAGGAGTGAATGTGGTGCTTGTTATTCTGGACTGCGGAGATGTTAAGCAGTTTGTTGCTTGATTTACTGTCACATAAACGAACAAGAACCTAATTTAAGCGGCGTGTCAACATGGAGTGTCTCCGAGAGTGGACTTTTGAACAGGCGGAACTGTCCACTGAGGGACAACCATATCCACTGTCTAGTTAGTACGATACAACCCGATTGGAGAAATTATAATAGATACTGAGCGCCAACTGTTAAAGTGCAGAAGTTTGTAATATGTCCAGGACATAAAAAAAATCTATTTCTAAGCAGGTTAACTTGGCAGCCACTCGGATAGGGATTGAAAAAACGACGACCAGCTATACTCCACGCATGCGCAATAACACATTAGCAAGGCACTTTATGACAACAACCAACCGATAAAATACACCGGAAATAACCCTTCGAATTGCTGTCGACGGATGGGAGACTTATACACGCTGGTTGACGCATTGGTAGGGAAGGCTGGCTCAGTAAAAAGGGGACTTACCGAAACACAGGGGCTGGAGCTGGTGCTGGGGGTCGGTGAACGCTGCACGGTAACCAGCGCCATTCAGCGACTGGGAAGCGAACACCTGAGCGGAAGCGACACCGGCGAGATTAGCATAATTCTTCTGAGGGGTAGAAAACCCCTTTAAAGCCGCGCTGTCGATCCTCTTCCCGTACTCAGTTCTCTCTTCTCGTAGATCGCGGACTGTTTGACTACTCCCCGGCTGTTTCCTCTGTCGCCTTTAGCTGCGCATGCGCAAGTACTGATAGCTTGTCAACCCTTATTAACTCTATATGTACTGGACTGCGGGTGGAAGGACGTAATCCACTCGTAAAAGTGACATCCTGCAAGTAAACCGGAAATGCACTCTTGGTTTTAAAAGAAGCTTACATGAATTGAAATCAACAGGGAACTAGACTATTTGTTACTCAAAGTATAACATAATAGATTTTTTTTTAAACAACAAAAACAAAAAAAACCCCAAATGCAATACAATATGATACCGACATGTAAACAAAAAACAAAACATGTGAACAAAAAGTATTACCTGTCATAATACAGACTCAGTGGGTGGTTCAAAATATGCAGTCCTGGTTTTGTTTGAATAGAATAGAATAGTCTTTATTGTCATTGTGTCACGAAATTTGGGGGAAAAAATTGAAATTGAAAAGAATTGTGTAGGGGTCCTGGTATTATCAAGTCAAGTTCATATACAGTGTTTTAGAGACAAATTCATTTCAGTTGCATAATGGGTTTTACAACCATAATTATACCTCCTCAACCTGATAAACCTCATTGAATGTTGTATTTTATGCATGATCAGATCAGAGTAATACAGCTACAGGTGACAGATAGTGTTTTATGTATGACTTCTTAAAGTGATGTAAAACAAAAACTGCTATATCAGGCAAATACATCACAGGTTGGTGATTTACAAAATGAGGCTCTTGTCTGACTTCAGACCTCACTGAGGCTGTGCACTACACATAGATGATACTGACTGCTTGAGGTCATTATTTGGATTTAGTAGTAATGGAATCTGACTTTCCAAGTTTCTCATTTACCTTATATTAGAAAGTTATCTAAGTAGGTTTCAGTCCAGGTCATTTTTATCCAATGCAGTTAACTAGAAGCAATTAAGAAGAAGGCAACTGGACTATTGCCTTCTACTGCTTTGAATTGTAACAGCAATACAACTGCAGCAATGCAAGCATCTTTGTGTAGGTTTACAGCCTGTAAGCAAACCAAATGCTATTGTTGTAAAACAAGTGCCTCAAATTAGTTAACATAAAGTCAAATTACCCAATCAAGTTTTGTATCTGGTGCAGTCTCACATATAGATGTATTCCAAATGTATTATATGAATGTTTTTTCAATGTCAGTAAATGTTAAAAAAACACATATTGCTGCATATTTCAAAAGGTCATTGGCATAAATGAAAATGTGAATATTTTATTATTATTAAGAGTTAATGAAATGTGTTTTGTATTAACGTAATAAACCCCAATTATTTATATTATTAGTGGATTGTTATAGTATTTATATTATTAGGGGACCTCCATGCTAGACAGTGGACAACTATGTTGAAAACTACGTTTCGAATCGTTCAGCCATGTAGGTAATTGATAGAATTCACAACGTATACACATCTATTAGCAAACTAAAACAAATCATTTTACCACAGTAACTCCTTTCGACAAAAATATTTATGATTAAATGTTTCACATTACAATGACTAGTATGACTGTAGAGTACTACTGAACTAAATGCTGGATTAATGGTTTATTTTATTTTGCGGCCATGTATTTCAACGGAAGACCGCACATTCGCAGCTGTTTTTATAACTATATTGTGAAGGCAAAGCTAACGGAGGTGAATCTGAAAAAATGAAACTTTTAAATATTTGTTGAAACCGTGATGTCGGATGTTTAGAATACATCATAAAAATGTTGAAATACTGTGACGAATCTGCCAACGACAATTTAAAGTTAGCAGTGCAAGATGGCGGCCCCTGCAAAGCAGTAAGTAACAAGCAAGCTAACGCTAATTTAAGAGAACGTCTCTTATTAAAGTGGTAAAAAATTGTATGGTTTTGGTTCGAGCTGTTTATTGTTGACCGCTCAGTTTGTTGCAACATATATTTAAATTCAAATTTTTGCTTTCTTATATGGTGCTTTTCACCGTATTCCTGCTTCTACATTGTATGACCCGTTCAGTTTATATTAAGCCTGTATAAATTATTTAACTTTTATGTATTTTTGTTGAGAACATCAACCATAAACAAGAATAAATTTAGATTTTCTTTAGTGTAGCTCTTTTTGTGTTACATCACTTAATAAACCCAAAGTTCAACTCCGCACTTCTTAACGTTACAACTAAACATGATGGAGGATGACATTTAGTAATTGAACCACTACATTTAAACATAACACGATAATTGTATTTACTCAAATCAATGTACACACGTTTCATGTGTATTTCTGATGGTAAGAAGATGAAAGTGTTGTCGCTAAAACGACGACAAAACATCAAAACAATTTAACTGTTCACATGATTTGCAAGAAGTACAGGAAAAGCTTGTGATGCAACATTTTAGAAGCCATCTGCTGTGAATCACGAAGATCCACATTGTAAACAAAAAAACAGTTATCTAATTTTATTAACGACTGTGTAAGTTCTCATTCATCCATGTGATCTTATCCAATAATATCACCAATCAATTATTAATTGATAACTGATTCACCATTTCCCCCTTTTTCCAAGGAGAGGTTTCCACAGATTTTGCATCCCTTGCATAGTTAGATAAAGTTATCAGTTATTAGAATAGCGTTATTAGGACTGATGTTGCATACGGACTAGAAACAATAGCACTGTGGTCTGTGATAGAAGCAATGTTGTGTGAATGTCCACAGGTATGGGCTGATTTTGCCGCAGAAGAAAGGAGCATTAAAGACAACAAACCTACAGAAACCGTCTGTGTTTGGGGATGACTCAGATGATGAGGTGGGTGAATCGTCAGTGTGTATCAGTGTAATATATTTGAATAAAAAGACACAATAACCGTTCATGTTTGTTTTATTTTTTGCCCAAATGAATATGTTGATACTCAGACAACAGTTGGGGAAAGAATACAAAGAGAGGCTATCAAAAAGAAGATGATGAAGCAGGTAAAGCAATTCAATGCATCTTGATTCAAATTAATCAACCTAAAAGATTCTTATTCTTAATCGTGTTATTTAATTTTCTTTTCTTAAAGACACATTTAGAAATGCAAAAGGCTTTGGAACAGGACAGCACTGTATACGAATATGATGCTGTATATGATGACATCCAGAAGCAGAGAAATGAGAGCAGCAAAAAAATCCTTGGAGGCACTGACAAAAGGGTAATCTTAGTTCTCAAGTTATGCTTGTCAAAGCCATTATTTACAGTCACAAGTAACATATTCCCTAGTCTGATTATAAAGCAAAACGCAAACTGAACATTTTAAGTACTTTTTTCCCCTCTTCCCTTCAGCCTAAGTACATTCACCAGTTAATGAAAGCAGTTGAAGACCGAAAAAAAGAACAAGAGCGAAGGGAAGAAAGAAAGATCCAGAAAGAAAGAGAGGAAGAGGGAGAGAAGTTTGCTGATAAAGATGCTTATGTTACTGCTGCCTACAAGCAAAAGCTGGTGGAGCAAAAAGAGGCGGAAGAGAAGGAAAAGAGAGAGGCACAAATTGAAGGTAAGATTTATGCTATACTGTATTTCTGGCAAAAGCCCTAATTTCTTTTTCTTAGTTTTTATTCTTTAGAAATAACACACTATTATAATTGTTTCCCTTTAGCCGCTTTGGACGTGAGGAAACAAAGAGACTTGAGTGGCTTCTACAGACATTTACTAAATCAGACTGTAGGAGAAGAGGAGATACCAGATCGCTCAGCTAACAAGTGAGTTATAGTTCACAAGTACTGGCTTGTCTAAATCTTTAAAAATCAAAAGTTATTTAAGTATTCTTGTTTCTTTTTCATCAGGCCTCAACCCTCTAAAGTTTCAGAAGATACAGAAACACCACCAGCTGCTGCCTTACCTCCGTCCCAACATAATATTCCAAGTTCATGCAGCGATAGTGATGATGACAATGAGCAGAAATCTGGGTTTAACAAGCCTGGGTCAGGATCAAACCACTCCAAACGCCAGTACAGACAGAGGTCACCTTCATCAGAAAGTGGAGATGCTAGGGAAAAGGAAAGAGAGAGAGACAGAGACAGACATAAAAAGAGTCACAGAGATCGAGACAGACACAGAGACAGAGACCGGGATAGAGACAGGGACAACGACAGAGATAGACACAGGGACAGAGACAGAGATAGAGAGCGGGACAACTCTAGATATAGGGATAAAGATAAAAATAGAGACAGAGACAAGGATAGGAACAGTGAACGAGAAAGACACGGAGGCAGAAAAGATGACAGAGATAGGATGAAGGACAAAGGAAGAGAAGATGACAGGGATAGGATGAAGGACAGAGGAAGAGAAGATGACAGAAGTAGGAGCAAGAAGGATATAGAGAAGGACACTTTGCAAAGGAAGAGGTCACTAAGCCCCAAAGATGGAGATCAGGGTAAGGA